CGAACTCCCAACTCTTGAGCCACGATCGCCCCACTAAAACTAAAATTGATTTAAATTGTGTTAATTTTGAGGAACGTGCCTATCTTTCCTGGCTCTGGAAACATTGCTCTAGAGCAGCGGTCCCCAACCCCCGGGCCTCGGACCGATACCGGTCCGTGACTCGTTTGGTACCGGGCCGCGAGAGTTCTTTTGTGGTGCTTTACAGTGACAACAGTGAAAGCTTTAGGAATGAGGATGGGAAGTAACAGGCCGTCTCCATTTCAGGTAGAAAAACTGAAACAGGAAGTGGGCAAAAGAAACAGCTGGCAGAGAAAGGCGAGAGACAAATTTGTGGACTTGAAGAGGATGAAGGACTTGGAGCGACAGGTTTGGCACACGGGCATACACTAACAATTCATTTCTCCTTCCTTCTTCTACAACTTCATATCACTTGTGCTTCACCAGGTGAAGGAGCTGGAACAAATACTCAGGAGCAGAAACCCAAATTCGCTGCCTGCTTTGATTTATGCTGCAGCCACATCTGCCAGCTACGAGGACGTGGACGCCGGCAAAATGTCCTCTTCCAGCCGGATCACTGCTCTGCTGGAGCGAAGGATCCAACGTCTGGAGGCCGAGCTGGAGAATCACGATGAGGAAGCCAAACGCAGCCTCCAGGTTATGGAGCAGCAGTTTCACAGAGTCAAGGTACAGCTAACATCAGTCCACAGGCTTGTCGATGTAACGACCTGCCAGCACTCAGCCTGGAAGTAACAGCTGGGTGACTGTGAAGAGGACCCTAAACAGAAAGCCCCCGTCACACCACCGACCTGTTCACCACCTTCCAGCTTGGGTTCAGGGGTCAAACACTCGCAGCTTTTAAGATTGGGCTTAAAACTTTGATAAAGCGTATAGTCAGGGCTGGATCAGGTGACCCTGCATCCAGCCTCGGCTGCTGGGGGCGTGTTTATACCTTTTACAGCTGTCTGCTAGTGTGGGGTTTTGTCCTTTTTAAATGACAAAAAATATGTTAATCACATCTTAATACCAAAGAAATAGGGCAGCCACCGTCTCTTGCTGGTCATCAGTAGAAGTCACTGAATCCACACTTTGTGATCACCACGTGTCCTCCTGCTTGGTGTGCTAGAACAGCAAAGCAGAGCGACAAACAGACAAAAGCTTCATAGAGAACTGAAGCCCAAAGAGGAAGCCGTGTGACATAATAAGTTCAGTTTCAGTCAGTCAATGAGCTTCTTAACCGCACAGCTGTGAGACTAAACAGTAAAACCTTTATTTTTCTCCTTCACATGTCTGACTTACAGCAGATCAGTGAGGAAACGTGTGTCTGTGCTGAACCAACACTTTTAAATGTTCTTGCTGTGGAAGTAGTTTGATTCATCACAGTGAAGAATCAGTTTCAGACGTCTGCTTATAGTAGAGACTCCGTGTGTTTTATAGAAGTCTGTGTCAGAACCATTATTTTCTGTGGTTTGTATCATTTAATGCTGAAATGATCATTAAAAACATCAGATGAGGGAACACATGAACCAGTTCCTCTTGTAGCGCCTCGTAGCACTTAAAGCTCTTTACACAGCTCGTCTCAGTCACAGTGCTGTGGAGCAGCCAGGGGTTGAAGCACCATTAGCAGATAACTCAAGAGATGAGGCAGAGTGAATACATTATAATATTTTTCTGATTCAACTCCAGTTTCACTGCAGTAAAATCCCTCAGCAGCTGTGTGACAGCACTATGAGTCACTTGCAGCACTGGCATTTTGATTTCTGTGGAAAAACTGAAGGACAGAGGTTTTATTTCAGTTTGGACTCTTGTCATGGACATATTCATTAGTGTTTTCAGAGCATTGTTTCATAAAGGACTGCAGCCTCTCTGCTGTGGAGGATCTGAGTCTGTAGGCGTCGGCCTGCTTAGTCACACCCACGAGCCTGTCAGCTGCTGACTGGCTCAGTTTCCAGCTGTACCTGTTAACTGGTTTGTGTATCACTCACTGTTTATACGTAAAGTAGAAAGTGTGAAGCACGTGTGGCTTGTTTCACACAGGGATCAGTAACAGTGTTCCTTGGTCGGTAGCTGCTTTTGATTTGTTTCTTTGCTTGCAGTCACTGATGTACTGCGCTTGGTCCTGTATGATTAATTCCTCTTCATTAAGGACTGTTTTATATATAACTTGTCACAGTTATTTAATCAAATTAGACACATTATAAAATCAAATACATTTTAAATCATGCTCACAAACTGAGTCTTAAAAACGAACAAGCTGTTTGTGTAGCAGATCTTTGTTGAATGCCACCATGTGTCTGCTCTGCAGCTCCGCTACGAGCAGCAGATCTGTGAGCTGGAGCAGCAGCTGCAGCGTGAGCAGCAGCTTGAAGCAGCAGCTGGGTCCCAGTCATCAGTAGTCCAGGCTCTGGAGGAAGAGCTGTACCGTGTGAAGCAGAGCCACAAACAGAAGGAGAAATCTCTGCATGAGCAGATCGAGTCTCTCCAGCAGCAGCTTAAACAGAAGGTCAGTACAAGTCTTACTAAAAGCAAAGAGCTATTGTCTTAGCTGCCTCCAGATGCTAGAGCAGGCAGCCTTTGCCCTGAAACCTTGGAATAATGGATGAAGTAGGATAATGGAGGAGTTGATAACACAAAATAAACTTGTACTCGATTATACAATACTGAGGAGAGCCCTTCGTTTTACAGGCCCTGCTGAGTCCCGGCCGGCACCAGCGCCAAGCCGAGGCAGCATTTGGTGTGCGGCTTGAGCGGCTGAATCAAGAGCTCGCTAAAAAGACACGGACCATTCAGGAACTGAAGAAGGAACGGAGGAACATGCCGTCTGTCCCCAACACACGAGCAGAAAGACGATCCACTGAGAGCAAACACCAACAACCAGGTCTCCTCACTGCAGGAGGAGAAACATTCCCAGCTGCTCCGTGTGAGAAGACCTATCAGCCCACCGTATTCACAGGTGGGAATGCACTTTTTTAAAGTAAGTAATACACAAAAGGGACTAAAGATCACCTGATGCAATCAAAACATTTTGTGGTCACACTGTTTAATTCACTTTGGTTTCATTTATTCAATTCCAAATCCCAACAAGATTCGCCTCATCGGGGACGAGAGCAAGGAGACGAGACTAAAGTCGTGCTGTGGTAGAGAGAACAACTCATAATGCAATGCAGAGTGCTGTATAAGTACTTAGTGAGTGAAAGGGGGCCATTTATGGTGTGTGTGTGTGTGTGTGTGTG